ATGAAATACATACATTATATCATTCTGTATGCAAGGTAATTTAGCAAATACTTATTTTATGTTTTATTTTTGTTAATGGTAGAAATTAATCGTATTAAATGTTTCATTTTATTGTTTTTTTAAAAAATAGATAATTTTCTTTATTTTCTTTCTACATATATATATATATATATTGTGTGTTCTGCGATGTGTGCATTTATTCTCCTATTAGTTTGTCCAATACATTGCAATGTATTCTGTAAACACTATATACATATATATATAGTGTTTACAGAAGGCAAAGTAAATACACAGATAAACGTATAAAACATTGTCTTCTGTAAATATATTAGTTTTCATATTTACAAACTCTCTCTCACACACAATATATATATATATATATATATATATGTAGAAAGAAAATAAAGAAAATTATCTATTTTTTAAAAAAACAATAAAATGAAACATTTAATACGATTAATTTCTACCATTAACAAAAATAAAACATAAAATAAGTATTTGCTAAATTACCTTGCATACAGAATGATATAATGTATGTATTTCATTCTTTTACCCTTGTCTTAGATCGCGTTTGTTGAACCAGCTGACAGACAAGACAAACTAGTGAAGAAGTGGGGATTTAAAGCATCTGATATACAAGAGCTCAGTAATAAGTATGCATTTGTTCTATACTATATTCTCAACAAATTATTTCTCTGGTTTTTTTTTTCAAGAACAAGTGGTGGCTTATAAATCTAGTTGACTTAAAAGCAGAACAACCAGTAGCACCAGTTTGGATATACGGTAATATCAAAGAAGCCAGGGACAAAGTCAAATAGGATTGATGAAATAGTATGCACCACTGAATTGTTTTTAGTATATTAGAAGAGGATCACTATGCAAGAATTTAAATGTTAAATCTCCTGAGACTTCGTAAGATTATTTCTGTTGATTCTTGTTTGTTCTTGTCCTTTTTCTTTACTTAGCTGATAAAAATAAGTCCATTTATGTAACTTCCTTTCTCTTTCTCTGCCATGAGCTATTCAAGTTTATTAATTATTTATGGCTTTCTAATTTAGTAAGAGTTGTACAGGCATCAAAACTATTGCAGAAGTGTTTTGGACATTGTTTGGTCTTAAAAAAAAGTCCCACAACTCATTAAAGCAGCCACATCTTTTTTTAAAGCTTCAACCTGTAATTATATTTATGGCCATCAGATGGATGCTGTCCTGATGGGAAATCTGAAGCACTTCTGAATAATTTGCAAACTGTGTGCAACTCCATTATCAGTTGTATCATTTGATCATCTATTTAAAATATTTGTGTAACGCATTGCACAAAGAAATCTCATAACAATTTGCACTTAAGAGAAACTGTTCAAACATTTGATTAAAAATTATATTAAAACACTGTATAAATGTAAAATAATAATATCTATTTCACACACGCACACACAGACACGCGCTAATACAGTATTGGAGCTTATCACTCTGGGTACATGAAAAAATTTAGGGACAATTCACCTTACAGTTTAAGCTGCTCCTGCTTTAGAAAAGGTGAAGTAAAACATGTCCCACTGAGACATTGACCACATTCATTCCACCATATTGGTTGGAATGTTCATAAATCACATAAGATGCAATATTGACAATAATACACGAAATATATGGTGTGACAAAAATAAATATTTTTCAGGCAGCTGGTTCAGTATTATATAATTTAAGAAATTATCCTGTGATGGACACAGTCTGCCTGCCTGTCGTGATTATGAAGTTTTGATATTACAATTGCCACAATCTTACCGCGCAATAAATTATGAGATTTTCCAGTTTACTACACAGTTTACTACTCAGTACTGACAAGTTCTTCAGCTGCCCTACTGCAAACTACAGTTGTTTCTATCAGCAGCAGAATGTAACTTGCCACTGGAAAGGCAGATTTTAGGCAAATCCTAGACCAGCGTCCCTCAATCTCGGCAACTTTAAAATGGATGGACGGCAGCCAAGGAATGATGGGAACTGAAATCCTCCCATCTTAAAGTTGGCAGGGTTGAGAAACTCTGCCCCAGATGATTATACTGTATGGCTCATGCTCAAACTAGTACATAATAATTCTGAACATAATTGTGATACATTCTTAAATACTGTGCAAGTCACACGCTTTGATTGAAGCAGTTTATTTTGGGCATAATCCATGTAGCATTTATGACAGTTTATATTATGTTTACAATGATTTTCGCTTCATTAGCAGTGAACAGCTTTTTAAAATAAACACCTGGTCCTGCCCTGTAGCAAAATATGAGGAAAGAACAAAGACAAGGAAGTTACCCAAGAAACACTGGGTGTCCTTCAGTAACTTTTAAGCAGGACAAATTCTGGATAAAGTTTCTTAACAATTGTTTATAAAAATCCCCCAGCAGATAAATCATGTAGAATTATAATATGATTTATAGAACCATGATAAATAGTTTAAGACTTTTTGGTGTTCTGATCACCAGATACTCAGAAAATACAATATACATAAATGATAAAAATGAACTAAACAATGCCAGAAGCAAAACAAACAACCCTCCTCCCAAATTCTTCACTTAAACATCCAAAATTTGCAAAGTCAGCATCATTGCTACTGCTTCTGAAGGCAAAATTAACTAGAAAGACTGAAAGGCTTACAAACCACTTAGTTCTGTTGTTTCCTGAAAAAGAGCCCCCTTTTCGACTTGAAACAACCCTGACACACTCAGACTATTGCAGGGGTATCCAATCTCTGCAGTTTTAAGACTTATGGACTTCAACTTCCAAAATTCCCCAGCCAGCTGACTTGGAAATTCTGGGAGTTGAACTCCACAAGTCTTAAAGTTGCCAAGGTTGGACAACCAGAGGCTACTGCTTTTTAATCAGCTAAGATATAGTGCAGTGAAAATACATTTAAAAAAACCCTGACTCCTCTTACAGCCACCATAAGCCAACTTTTCCCCTCAAACCTACCTCTATTTTCTAAAATGTTACTCCAATACTGTAGGACAGAATGATTGCTATCATAGTTTATCTGCTAATTCCTCATTTATCCAGAAATAATGTACCCGTGTAGTGCAAAGAAAAATAGACCAAATACAGGTAGTCCTCAACTTATTACCACAATTAAACCCCAAATTTCTGTTGCTATGCAAGAAAGTTGTTAAATGAGATCTTGCCCCATTTTCTGGCCACACTTCTGGAATCACTGCATTTCTTAAGTGAAGTGAATCTGTTTTCCCTATTGACTTTGCTTGTCAGAAGGTCACATGACTCTGGGGCACTACAATCATCGTAAATATGAACCAATTGCCAAGTGTCTGAATTTTGATCAGGTGACCATGGGGATCTTACAACAGTTGTAAGAGTGGAAAACAGTCCTATGTCACTTTTTCAGTGCCGTTGTAACTTCAAAATATCACTAAACAAATGCTTGTATGGAAGGGATACAAAAATATGGCTAGCATGCCTTATAACATGCCTTGGAGACGACATAAATTGTGTTGCAGGCTTTATTATTTCAGTGTGCTTCCATCTCTGCCATTTTGTAGATCCTTATGAAACAGTTTATTATAAGCAGAAGCTGAACCTGCCTTTCTCCTTTTCCACATCTCCGCACATCTTTATGTACATTTTGTGGGAAACAGTAGGTTTTAAAGACATGCTAGCCATATTTTTGTATCCTTCCCATACAGTACCAACAAACACTAAAAAAACAGTCAAATCATCTTCAGCCAAATCATGTTTTTGCAAGTCATTGCAAGCATTGGAATTAGACTGACTCACTCTTGTTAAGGTTTAGTCATTGTTAAATTGTTTTATTGTCATATTTTGTTATTGTAAACTGAGCGTTTGTTGAACAGAAAAGTAGACTTCAAATTTAGGAGAGAGTATAAATATTATTCCTAATTAGACAGCTCATATAGTGTAATGGTTAAAGTGTTCAGCAGGAGTGACAAGTCCATACTTCCACACAGAAGTTCATTGTCTGACTTTAATCTACTCATTCTCTCTTAACCAGTGGTGGGTTCCTACCGGTTTGGACCGATTTGGCCAAACCAGTAATGTTTTGGAAAACTGGATCGTTGGAACCGGCAGCGACTGAGGCCTGCCAGAACCCCTGGCAGCACTATTTTGGTTTTGGCTTCTGCGCAATTTTTATTGTACTGTGCATGTGCGCGCTGTGAGCATCAAGTGCACACGTGTGCTACGCACCCATGAGCAAACTAGCAGTGGTGGCTGCCGGAACCCACTCCTGCTCTTAACCCAGCCTATTTCAACAAACTGAGTTATTATGAGGGGAAAACAGGAAGCGGAAGCGCCATGTAGATCACATCTAGATTGCATCAAGTTTTGTATGAAAATTATATATATATATATATATATATATATATATATATATA